CTACATGTTAGTAGGGGGAAAGGATCTAACTTGTTAGGCTTTGATAAGGTAGATGGGAAGGTAGGAAGAAAAGTGAATAACTGGAAAAAGCATCAAATAGCATCAGTGTCTAAACAGGGCGGCACACTGTTCAGGGGCTATAGTGAGCCAGGAACACCATAAGGGCAAATTACTTAACCTCTCCAAGCTTCAGTTGCCTCATCTACAGATAAAGATATTAATAGCACCATTACATAAGATAATCTATGAAATATATTTGGCATGATGCCTGGCTTGTAAGAGCTGAAAAAAAATCTTAGCTGGGATGTTATCATTGAAGTTATATTATTATTATTAATAATAGTAACAATGATAATCATTATTATTAGTAGTAATAGTAGTGGTGGTGGTAATGTGCTCTGTTAAGTGGAATCAAGGCATTACATTAAAGGATAGGGAATTAAATAAGAAAGTGGGGGCAGGGGTGTCAATACCAATCCTTATCTATGTCACAGCTTTCCCTGAGATTAGCTACAAGAGAAACACCCTGGCAGAGTGATGTTAGAGCCAAATACACAGGAACTCAAATTTTGGCTCTGTCACTTGATAATGTATAACTTTGGGGAAGTTACTAGTTTTCCAGAGTCTCGGTGTTCCTATTTGTAAAATGAGAATAATCATACCTGTATGAAGATTATCCAAATAGCATACACAGAGCATACAAAATGTACCTAGTGCCCAGCAAATACGTCCCCCTCCCTCACTGGCCAAGCTCTTTTTCCTTCATACTATGGTTGGCAGACTGCAAAATGAGAAATCCATCTGGATGGGTGAGAAATATGAGAATGTATTGTGGGCTCTTTGTTAAGAGAAGAAAGATGTCACTAGCTCCCTTACACCCTCCTCCCACTGGGGGAGCTGATGGAATGTACAGTCGGGCTGCTGAACGTTAGAACTTGCACCCATATTTAGGTACAGCATGTAGTGGAACAATTCTGAATTCACTGTAATGTGCTACCGCAAAATGGAAGCCTTCCAGTATAAAGGAGCACAAAAATAGGTTTTCATGGAAATTTAACTCTGGTTTTCTACCTTAACATAAATGAAATCTGAGTACATTTTTTTTTTCTGCAAAAAAAGCTGAAGATAATTCTTTAAAAAGCTATAAATTGAATGGCTACAAATATCTTTCCATTATCACTCCAAGATATTTATCATTTGATCTGAGTTATATGGAAGATATATCACCTGTAATAGTCAAAACAAGTTTAGGAACCCTTCTCCATTTTAAATGTTACTTCCTTGATGAAAATCTAATCACATTGGAAAATAATCTTCAAAATCACCTCATTTCTTTTCTCAACATTATTGTTTGAATGTCTTTATTCTTTTCCTAAATTCACAGAATATACTTCCCCTCACACATTACCATACCCTGTCCTATGAATTTGTTTTCTTTAGGTGTTTTGAAGTAAGACTATAAGAATTTTAACGTTTTAAGTATACTTTCAGTAAACTCTTTCTGATTTATGTAACTGTCTCTGACACTGATATGTAGTCATTAGTTACATAAATATTTTCTATAATTATGTAAGTCATGTTGACAGATTCTGGTAGGGTACTTCCACTTTACTGTTTTGTCATCTGCAAAGTTCTGAAATGTATCAGATAACCATTTACAAATTAAACAGCTGTTAAGGGGTACTTGCTGACTCACTGCTTTCTTTGCCTGTGATGCTGGGTCCACTGTTTTCAACAGCGGTTCTTAAGTAAATACAGCCTCTCTTCCTCTCTCCCCACAGTCTTTTTTTTTTGTCTTAATGATGACCAACTTACGGTCATTGACTTTGTGGAATTCACGGTCAGATAGAGGAATAGGTGGTCAGGTATAGGCCTATAGATTATTGCAACAGAATGTGGAAGATACGTGTTATAATAAAGATTTGAATAGTTGCCGTAATAGGGCATGGAATGACTAATTTCCCAGATGAGCTAGGGAAAGCTCCACAAATAAAGGGATCTCTAATCTAGGTTTTGAAGCTTCAGTAGAAGTTCGATGAATGAAAAAGTGGGGAAAAAAGCCTCCTAGGCAGATGCACAGATAGAGGTATAGTTGAAAAAGATGAAGAATTGTGGATACCCAGGATATCAGATGCAGGAACCCAAGAATTGGCCAATGAGACTACAGAGCTGGTGTCACAGTGGAAATTATTTCAAAGGTCTTGAAAGTCTCTCTCTCTCTCTCTCTCTTTCTCTCTCTCTCTCTCTCTCTCTCTCTCTCACACACACACACACACACACACACACACACACACACACACACACAAACTGCCTTCATTCTATAAAACAAACTGATGGGCTCCAACTTTTTAGAACATAATCAACATGGTATGGAGGGCAGACGTGCATATCCTATCTGCTTTAAGAAGCCTAGATATGATACTTATTTCAAGATCGTGGAAAAGAAAACTATCTTCCTCCGTGTCTCAGTTATGCTCAGTTCAAACAGAAAGGCATTCAGTTATTACTGCATGGCCCATGAGGGTAAGAGAAAGATAAGTGCAGTATACCAAGTAATTTTTGAGACACTGGAAGGAAACATTTTGATACCCATGGAGATCCTCCACTTAACAGCCCAGACCCTTAGGAAGATCTGTGACCTACCTCATCTCTGCCATATTGATGCATAGTGACATGATCTCACCATACAGTGCTATAACCATGCACAGGACATGATACACTACACCCCTGCCCTGCCATGTCAATCATGGTGACATGGCCCTGCTGTACTCTGTGTGGGTACACAGTCTACTACATCTCTGCCACAGCCGCGTGTGAAGACATGGTCTGCCATACTTCTGACAAGTCTACACATGGGACATGGCCCATCAAGTTTCTGCAACATCCATGTTTTAGGGTGGTGCCTTAGTGCATTTTGTGTTGCTATAGAGGAATACCTGAGACTAGGTAATTTATAAAGAAAAAAAAAGGTTCAGTTGGCTTACAATTCTGATATCTGGAAAAGTTCAAGTTTGGGCATCTGGTGACATCATCAGGCTGCTTCCACTCATGGTGGAAGGGGCAGGGGAGCCAGCATGTGCAGAGATCATATGGCAAGAGAGGAAGCAAGCGAGAGGGGAGGTGCCAGGCTCTTTTTAACAATCAGCTTTTGGGGCAATTCTCATGGAAACTAACAAAGCAGGAACTCACTCAGTCCCACCCCTCCCAAGGAAGGCACTAATCTGTTCATGGGAGATCCACCCCATGACCCAAACACTGCCCATTAGGCCCCACCTTCAACACTGGGGATCAAGTTTCGACATGAGATTTAAAGGGATCAGACATCCAAACAATAGGAGGTGGGCGTGGTCCACCTTACCCTAAGCCACATCCAAGTAATGAGCCCTGTGGTTGTTGTCAGCCCAACTACTGTCCAGGTTCCAGAAATAGTCACCAAAAGGTAATTATGGTAGTGGCTGCAAAGGGGGGTGAAAGGAGATATCTAACTCAAATTTTAGTTAGGGTCATGATGAAAGATGTTGATGAAGAAACAGAGACAGGTTTAAAAACGGATTAATAAATGGATGAATATATAAATAAATGTATCATAAATCTTGAGATGAGAGAAGTAAATAAAAGCTTCCAAATAAAAAAGTCCAAGAGAGAGATTTTTTTTTTTTAAATAAGGAATAAAAAGCAAAAAGGAAGACAAATCAGAGAAAGAGATAACACAAAGGGGGTAAACACAGTGGAATATATATATATTCCTTGGGCCATCATGCGCCCATCTCCTCAGTGTGGGTACACAGCGGCAGCCCTCTACTAACCCACACTGGCAGCCCTGTGCAGATAGGCCACCCAACCACATCCAACAGGAGGTACCATGCACTCAGAAAAATATATATATATATTCATTTTCTCAAGATACTGTTTATCTTTTCCACATGCTTTTAAATGTTCTTGATAAGTAGAGATGTAGAAGGAAAAATCAGAATCTGAGCCCCTGAAGAGAATATGTCCTCCTTTTCATTCTTCTCAGACCATTTGCTTAAGTGTGTAGGGTTTTAGGTTGGGCAAATCTAACCCATGTGCAAAGTACTATTTGGTCTGAAGACACACCTGTCTGTATCTCATGGCTTCATCCTGGGGGGGTGGGGGTGGGAGTGGAAAAATGTCACATTTTCTAAATCTTAAGGAAATAGAGTAGAAAATTTGTTGTAAGCGCAAGTCTCCAAAATTATTTTGGCCACAAGCTTTATGGGACACTCCACGGAAGTGGCTCCCATCCCTAGTTCTGGTTACATAGTTTCAGGAGACAGATTTCCCATGGAAAATGTGATGCTTCAGGCAGACTGGAGGGTCAGATGTATTGAGAATGGATTTTGTACATCCTCATCCAGCAGTGATGGAAAACAGCAGACACTTTCCCTTCTCTCTCAACTGCATAGGCCCACAGGAGGGGGCAGCTCATTCATCAACACCACTCAGGGGCAATCATCCAAATCATCCAGTTAAACAGCAGTTACTTCTCTTTAAGACACAATGTGAACAACCCTCCTGCTCAGCCCCAGGAACACATGAGTGTGCCGTGGAACAAAGGGAGAGCCCACAGCCAAACACCACTGGGAAGAAAAGGAGGCCATCATGCGCCCATCTCCTCAGTGTGGGTACACAGCGGCGGCTGTCTAATAACACCCCACACTGGCAGCCCCTGTGCAGATAGGCCACCCAACCACATCCAACAGGAGGTACCATGCACTCAGAAAGCTGCTAACATACCAACCCCTTTATTTGCAGCCTAGGGTGTACTAGTGATAACTTTTCACGAATCAGGAGGCCAACATGAAGTCATGTTATTTCAGCAGGGAAACTGACTTCTACTCCCATGTTCCAATACAAGGAAACATAAGAAAGAACAGTCAATTCCAAAAATTTAGAAGACAAGCAGGTACATGAGAACTTTGAGTATGGCTGAGAACAGGAATGAAGGAAAGATGGGAGATTTCAAATGAGTCTCTTACCTTTTTGTCGCTCAAGCCAGAAACCTGGTCCACATATTCCTCTTGGATCATGAAGGCAGCTAAGTTGGCAGTGTAGCTGGCCAGGAAGATGACAGCAAAGAAGGCCCACACTGACACCATGATCTTGGAGGTGGTCCCCTTTGGGTTCTGCACAGGTACGGAGTTGTTAAACACCAGACCCCAGAGCAACCAAATAGCTTTGCCGATGGTGAAAGAGGGGCCACCAGGCTCTGGCACGACAAAAAGACAAGGACGAAAGTTAAGCCATTGTGACTGGTTCTATTTAAACCTACAAATACACAGGGTGAGTCCCTGCTCAGAGCAGGAAACTCTTCCACTAAAACCGAGCTCTTTTATAGATGGCTTTTAAATTTGAGAGTGTGTATCTCTCTTTTCCAGGGACTCTCAGGAGGGCTGCAGAGGGTTCCTTAGAAGAAAAACCAAAAGCCTGGGGTGTGTGTGGGATGGTCTTTTTTGAATTAACAGTCATGACTCCCCTCTGGAGGAGCCATCAACCTGCCCCATATACAAGACCCTATCAAGGTCACATCAAAACTGAATAACACAGGCTGCCTATGTCACTATGGTCGCACTTGAATCATTACTGTCAGTTTTTCCTAAATTTTATATTTGTATCTACCAATAATGCATTTTAACTTCCAAAAACATCACCAAGAATTGTATGAGATTGTTTTCTACCATTCACAAACCCTCTTCAAGTCTGTTTACACTGATGCTAGATGGCTTGGAATGCACTTTTTCCTGATTTTTCTTTAGCTTCTAGCACTTAGCACTCAATATTTCAAAGACAAACCCGACCCCACTCCAATGCCAACACTTCCCAGCTGGTTTCCTGCCGTAGAAGCTTGTGTGTAAAAGAATATCAGGAAGGCCAAAGGGGAAGTCATAGAATTCTGGCCTGGCTACATGCATCTAAGGGCAGAAAGGAAGCTGCCTTTGACTTTGATTTCCCCCGCTCCCCCAACCTTTGCACACACAGTGCTTGGGCTTCTGCCCATATATGTATTGTGACCTCATCGCAATCTCTATGCTGATGGTAAAATCTTGCCTGTTGTCTGAATCTCCATGTAGCCCCTCCACTGCAGAAATGAACATCTGCCTGCACAGTTTTACAACATATTTGCACAGGTCTTATGATGTAATCTGTGATCCTGATAGCATCTGCTCAGCCAAATAAATCATCAGGGACAACTCATGTTGAACCTGATATCTAACTGTGCACACACATCTGTGCGTGTGGACCTTATTTCATGCAACAGATGTGTAACTAAAAAGTTGTTTATAAATTAAAGTTTTGTAAATTGTAAAATGCTCCAAGGAGACTTGATATTTAAAGTGGTCCCATGTTGAATTCCTCTGTGAAGACAAACAGCCTTCGGTAAAATGAGTAATTGTAAGCCCTCACTCTGAGCTTTCTTTGCAAGTCTGGATTTTTGGCTCCTGTTATTTTTTCAGGGGAGAGAGGCAATGCACACTGACTTTAGTTCTTGACATTGCCGACCTAAGTATATACTCACGTGATTCCCAGATGTTCCACTTCTCACGGATGCCACACAGGCTGGGATCTAGGTCATGGCTTCTGGATGAAGCACAGGTGGAAGGCCCCTGACTGTACCATGCAGTGGAGACACCCCAACTCCCATCTCAGAATACACAAACCAAATTAAAAGGTAGGTCTACACTTGGAAATACTTCAGTAAATTGGTGTTTCACAGCTTGTACTGTGGATCCAACAGAAGCATGAGGAAGATTTTATAAAATACTGCTGCCTGAAACCCTATCCTCAGAGATTCTTATTAAATTGGTGTAGGATGGGGCTGGTTATTTTAACATGCAACCAAGATAGAGAAACACTATATTGAAACATACAGTGGTCTAAGCTCCACCCTAGACTTGGTGAATCAGAAAATGAGGTCCAAGCACCCGTGTCTTTTAGATACCCCCATAGATCATTCTTATGTGTAGCCAGGATTAAGAATCTTTCCTTTTGGAGGTATAATTCTAGGATAGAGCTCACTTTCTGAAATGGAGAAGGCTCAGAGAAGGCAGAATATTTCTTAATCCTGGGGTTCTCAGGAAGTTTTAGAGGAGTTATTTACAAGGATCCCATGCTCCTCTTTAGAAATCATGTGAACTTTTAAAAACTGTCATAAATGCCTCAAACACATGGGCAGCCCTCACATCTCTGGGTCCACCTACCCAGGAAATTGGACCATACCCAATAACAGCTATGAGTGAGAATTGGTCTTTCTCATGTATTTTATTTCCAACACCCAACTTTTATACTCTCTGACAAGGGGGTTAAGCCAGGAGCATATGCTTTGGAGATCTGGTACTTCAGTTGTGATCCTTTGGCACTGGGGAACTCTACTAGCCACAACCACCTGCAAATACCCTGGGGCATTCCATTTCTTCTTGTTCTTAACATGTGTGTACAATCTGCCTTGCTAGCGACATCTGTTCCAACAGACTGCCCACAGCCTAAGGTTATCAAAATAGTTTCCTATGACATGTTTATGCTATACCCATATCTACCAACAGTTTTTCCTCTCCTTAACTTGGGAGTGCAACTAGGCTTGGGGCCAGGCATAAAGCAGACCTACAGATTCAAACTAATGTCTTAACTGGAGTATTTCTAAAGAGACACCAAGATGGTGACCTAGAAATGTTCACCTCAGGGTTCCTTTTCAGAAATGGATATGCTAGGGAAAATGCAGATAACAAATGAAGAGTCCAGAGATTTGAAAATAGGAGAAAAAAATTGGGGAAATGCAGCAGTTCCAGCCGGCCTTACCTCTGCCATCAGCGAGGCACCTGTTATAACCCACAGGGCTGAAGTACTCAAAGACAAAGACAGCCACAGCTGAGACGATGAGCAGCATCACAAACATCATCACCCATACGTCAGCACTGAATGGCTCTGGGGAAGGGAAAAAAGCAGTGCTCAGGGTTAAAACAGAGAGCAAAAGACTTCGAATTAATTCACATATTCATTTCATATTTTAGGGGGTGGGGAACAAACCACAGTGTGTTGTCTGCCTTCAGGAAGCCAGGGCCTACGTTAGGCAAGGACTATCTTCCTTCAAATACATGAGAAGGACAGCTTCATGCCTGTGAGCCTTTTAGGTTGTAGAGGCAGTTTCTGCCAATATTGGACCAATATCTGGGTATTTCAGTAAATGGTGCAATTGGAAGAAATACTAGCTATGAGGTGAGTATTGGACTGACTCAATTTGTATTCTCATCTATATGGCCACACCATGTAATAGAGGCCTGGAAATGCCTTCCCCAATGCTTCTGAGCCTTGCAGATACAGTCATTCTCAACAGACCTACCTACTATTTTAGAGTTGAATTTGTTCAGGAATAATTATGTACAATACATAACCAGCTCCCCTTTCCTCCTTGTATCACTTCTCTTAAACTTCCTAGCCTAGATTCACTTTTTCAACCTACTTTTATGTATCGTATGTTATCAGACATCATTAGGATATGAGAATATAAGTCAATGTTAAAGAATCCTTCCGGCCAGGCGCCGGTGGCTCACGCCTGTAATCCCAGCACTTTGGGAGGCCAAGATGGGCGGATCACGAGGTCAGGAGATCGAGACCATCCTGACTAACACGGTGAAACCCTGTCTCTACTAAAAATACAAAAATTAGCCAGGCGTGGTGGCGGGTGCCTGTAGTCCCAGCCACACGGGAGGCTGAGGCAGGAGAATGGCATGAACCCAAGAGGCGGAGCTTGCAGTGAGTGGAGATTGCGTCACCGCACTCCAGCCTGGGCAACAGAGCGAAACTCCGTCTCAAAAAAAAAAAAAAAAAAAAAAAAGAATCCTTCCATGCTAAATATTATTATCTGCAACGGTGGGAGTTTAACAAGTGACAAGGGAACATGCCTAAGCTATAATTCACAAACCAACTACAATCTATCCCCCGTCATCAAGTGATAGGGTTGATGGGACAAGACTGGGCAAGGTAGCAAGAATGTTCCACACATGCTTTCTTAATATCTTTAATCATGTGTGCTGAATGCTTTCCAGTTGAGCTAAATATCTCTCTGGCTGGGAGGTGTCCCGAAACTAGATACTATATTCCAGAAGCCATCTCTGTGAAGGCCTATAAAAAGGGACAATCACTATTCTGTCCCATGATACAATGCTCCCTCAATTGTGTCTCAAAATAGTTCTGGCCTTTTTAGCTGTCACAGCACATTGTAAACTCATAACTAAGTGAATTAACATGCTGTTTTCTCCATCTTCCAAATCATTAATAAAGATGAAGTTTAAAAAGGGGAAAAATTGGCTGAAAATTAGAAAATATATTTCTTACTCTGAAAACTACTTTATTATCGAACTCCCAAAGGAATTGTAAAAGCTTGGTCACTTAATCAATTTTAAAAAGATCTTGATAAAGCCCCAGTGCTTAACACACCAACTGTGAAATGCAAAACCTTTTAATGGCAGCTAGAGATGCGAGCATAATAGGTACAATTCAAAGGCTCTCTCCAGAGGTGCAGAGAAAACCTCTGCACACTTGACTCTAATTGATTGCAATTCTACCCTGATTTCTCTTTTGTCTAAGATTGGGGAATAACTGAGTAAAAGCATCACCTCTATGGTCTTTTCCTCCCATTAGGCCCAGGGAAACTTTCTATACACAAAATACATCGTCTGTTTCGGCCTTTACAATTTAGAAAGTACTTTACCACATACTGTATATATAATCCTTCTAATGGCCCTTTCATTAGGGATTACCTTATTTATTTTATGGAGGAGTAAACTAGGACTGAGAGGTCAAGGTTCTTTCCAGTTCATACTCAGAAAGTGGCAGGGTCAAGTTACAAACTGAGCCAAAAAGTCTGTGTTTTTTCATTTTATTACATTGCTCTTTGTCCCCCATGCTGGTTCCTGGGTTAGGGGCTGAACCCTGAAAAGGCCTTATTTGTACCAGAACACAGGTTCTGAAGGCTACCATAGCTGGATTTTAATCCTAGAGCTGCCAGTTATCAGCTAAGAGACTGCTGGAAAATGGCTTAATATGTCTAAGATTCCGTTTCCTAAGCTATAAAATGGGTATAATAACATTTTATGAGTTAATATTACCAAAGGGTGTACAATGATGCCTGGCACATTATATAGTAGGTGCTCAATAAATGTTGGCTTCTCTTATCCCTATAACTAACTGCTCCTCCTCTGAACACAGACATAAACACACCCTGCCTGACATTTCTATGCCATTCCAGTGATATGTTAATGTACCACTGGCTCTGCCAGTTCAGAAGTTAAGGTAGTGCTGTACTGACAAGGTTAGAATTAGAATGTGGTTTTGTTTATATCTCTTAATGTTCCAATTATCCTTGCACAGGAAAAAAAAGCAAATACGTACAGCAGCTATGAGAATTACTGCATACAGTGTGTACTATCTAATCACATTTCACATAAAATTGGCAAGGCTGGAATTTGCTTCACTGTGAGTAAGAAGATTAGCTAAGAAGTTTGAGTAATTTATAGAAAAATTCTATGGAGCCTATAACTCCACTTTGCAATGCATTAATTGAATTAATTCCCTATGGTTAGAGCTTAAAGAAATGTTAGTCACTGTCTACTATAATAGCCCCATTAAAAAAATGTTGATGTCCCTTAGAGAGATGGTGACTCGTCCGGGGGCTTACGGCTTGTTTAGGCCAAACCCAGTCTCCTTTCTGCTAGCCCAGTGTTCTGTTTTCAAGGTGACGTTTTGTTTTCCAACCCCTCATTCCATGGCCCCTGAAAAAAATATGGGGTATGAGCTCACAAAAGACCTCATCTAACTGAAATCTTGGCCTCATCTCACCCAGTCTTATATCACATCTGAGATTTTTGACATTTAAGTGATGCTGGAGAGAATGGTATGGGGAGGGGTGCGCTGGGGTGGGAGGAAGAATCAGATCAGCTCTATCTGGCAAAGCCTCAGAAAATTTGCGTGGAAACAAAAAACCTTTTTTGGTAGCACTAAGCACAATTCTTGCAGATAATTAAAAATAAATAGATATTTCAATGATATCCAGAATTAGAAATTATTATGGCAGGAAGCAGCCTCAGAGATCAGCCTGGTTGAAATGACTTCTCCTGTGGATGAGGAAACTGAGTCCCCAGATAGAGCAAATTTGCTCAAGGTCACATGCTGACTAAATGGCAAGAATGGGACTACAGTAGGGCCTCTGAGGACCAGTCCAGTACTGCTTTCTTAGACAGCATTATGCTTTCCTATTTTTCTGGGTGTTCATCAGTTTTCATGTTTGAGAGTAATTAATTTTGAAGTCCCCTAAGTGAAGTCCCTGACTGAGTTGAGCTCCTAGCAAACCACCTCCTAGCTGGAAGAGCCTGGCCATGTGCTCCTTCTTTGTTCCCTATTTCACTTCCCCATCCGTATGTCCATTTCCTTCCACCAGCAAACCCATCATTTACCTAAGAAGGCAGAAGGTGAGACAGTCCCATTGCTGCGTGACACCATGACACTGATGCCTGTCTCTATGAAGGGCACAGAGAAGTCGACCACCTCCGATCGTTCCTCATTGATGGTGAGTGAGCCCACCGCCATGTAGGCCCTCTTCATGACCACCTAAGAGAAAGGCGCAATCCTCCAATTAAAACATTCAGAGGGCAAGGGACCACCACAAGGAAAATACAGCCTAGCTGTGGTTTTCTTTATATAGTGGGAACAATACATCTTATTTGCCATTTTGTATTTTCTGAAATGCATAAAGTGAGCATGTTTAAAACATATATTTAAAAGAAGGAAAATAAATGAAAATGGAAACAGCCCTTGTGGACACTCACCTCTCCAATCATACCATTCCAGGTTCCATTGATTTTCTTCCCATGCTTGCCATTGGTAACCAGGTAAAGGTCATAGGTGAACTTCACAGATTTAGAAATTTTCTTAAGGATGTCGATACAGAACCCCTTGCAGCATTTTTTGATGTAACCCGGCTCCTCATCTGTTTTATTCCTAGCCAATTAAAGAAACAAAAACAAACGAACAAAAAGGCCTTGTACAAAAAGGCAACATTTATTACCCTTTGCCATTAACAAACCTCCAATCCCAAAGCAGACCCCCTTCACAGCTCAGCACAATTTATACTAGACTCGAGTGAAGAAATAAGACAGACAGCAGACCTGCACTATTCTCATTATCTCATCGCATGGAGATATGTTTCCTCTTAATTTTAATTCTCCTTTGAAGTACAAAATACATAAGAAAAGGGTGCATATTTGAAGGCCTCAGTTCAATGAATTTTCACAGACTGAACTCTCTTTTTAATCAGCACCCAGATCCAGATACAGAAAAGTTACCAGCACCCAAGAGGCCTCTTGTTTCCCACTCTAGGCACTTCACACCAAGGAGAACTATTATCCTGACTTTTAAAAGCATAGATTAGTTTTTTATTTTTCAAAAAATAGTTCTAACTCTCAAGATTTTGGGGCATGTTGGCCCAAGAAAACATATTTGAAAACCAGAAGTAAACTTAAATCTCCATAAACTTGAGGCCCTGATCATTGAGGCCAAGCAAGACCAGAGAAAGTTTAGCATAAGAAGTTAGCCATCGTTTTCCCAGGTCACCATCTGGACAGAATGGGACATTAGACCAGAGGGCTGCCAGTAATCCCACAGATCAAAAACAACTAGAAATCAGACACAGTGCCCGGTTCTCATGCCTCAGGTCTCAGGCCAGCCAAGTGCTAACAGGTGCATCAAAGCTGACTCTTCCATGCCACCCAAAGTCATTGAGAGGATGCCATACTCAGTGATTATGCGTTTTTGGCAGGGGACTGTGTTCCTCATGCAGGTTCCACTCAGAGGGTCCACACTTTCCACAATGACAAATGGTGCCTCCTCCAGGGTCACAATGCTCAGATGGTCATCTTCCTGCTCTTCAGTCTCTGGACACATTCGGGGCCACACATAGTACTTCATCTGCAGGGACTTGTCTTTCCACTTCCCCACCTGCACAAGGATGAACATGAGAATCAGAAACCTCTGGCCACAACATAACAGCCTGTCCCTGTATTGTCTGAATAATTCCAGGAAGCAGTTGAACAAAAACCAACAAGTGCCAACATTGTACAAACTAGAGAGAGGAATACTTTTTCTTCTCTCTAGTCATATGCCCCAAATGAGACTAGTGTGTCCAAATGTAAGAAAGGCAATACATTCAATTATCACTCACTTACCAAACATTAAATGAGAACCTACTATGTGCTGGCACCCTGCCAAGACCCATGGCTCAAAGAAGCATCATTCTGTCCTTCATGAAGCTCATAGTGAGTGGAGTCAGATATGTAAACAAATACCTTGCAGCACTGTGTAGTAAGTGCTGTGAGGATGCTGGAGTTGCCTGCATTATGTGTGGCTGCCAGTTTTTTCTACCTAACTGTAACAAGGAGCATGATGGTGAGAGCAGCGGATAGCTGTGGAAAGGTCAACAGAACAATGGGAGCAAATGAGCCAAAAGGATGTGCTTTGACTGTAGAAGAGATCCAGTGGGGAGAGCTAGGTGGATCTGAATTGGAATACAATTACAAATTGGGATTAAAGAATACTAACACTGTTTGGGAAGGGAGAACAGTTAGGCTGGGGATGAACGTGGGTCAATGCAGACGTGCACCTCCTGGGCTGGGTGGAAGCCCTGGGATGAATCAGATATGTCTCTCTGTGAGCCACCACCTATGGCCACACAGGCTGAGTGCCCCAACACGAGGGAGCACCATCCACATGGACTCCAATGTGAAAGGCCAGTGCCCCTGAATCATGAACATGGCGGCCTGCTGGCAACCATCCTGAGAAATGTATGGGTTCCATTATTTTTCAGAAGAGCTACTCATTCCTATTTATAAGGGAATCGACATGGCTTTGTCGGGGGGCTCTTGATCTCTCTGTCTCATTGAGTTTAATGGAGAAAGAGGGAATACTTGCTTATTTTCTATAACTGAGCATCTTCAATTATCATAAGGAATTATGGATTGCAAGCACCTACATTTTCTCAATCTATGATTTCCTCCATGCAGCAATATAAAGTAGTAGAACAGGTGAGGCACCAGGAACTACAGCACTACTTAATTTATTAACTACAGAAATCAATAAGAAGCAACAAGTTGGTAGCACTTCATAAATTTTCAAGCAAATCAGCTTGGATTTCCAAATTAATGCAAAACCCAGACTCCTTCCTTCTTGGTTTCTTTGTCCAGTAGCCTGCACAGCCCCTGCCCTTGTGTTACTGCATCATTATAATGCAAGCAGTGGCTTGGTGGCTTGGGCAATCTTATTTGGTACCTACACAGTCCCTGTTTGACTGATGCTGGTTGGTTTTCTTTCAAGGGTATAAATGATGTTTTGCTTCTTTGTTCAGAATCATGCGCCGAACCAAACATTTGCTTTCCTTCATGTATATAGACTTCTCTGAACTGTTGATCCTGATTTTAGTACAAGACATTTTTTCTCATATTACTAAGACTACTTATTTCTAAAACAGAAATTTCCAAATGGCTCTGCAGCCAGTGGAGATACTAATGTCCTCTGCCAGTTGGGGCAGGTAGGAATTGGGAGAGGAGAGACTTAGTCCTGGGGGCCCCAGACATTGGTACCCCATCCCCAAACAGGCCTATTTACCCCAGTGGCCAAATTGGTTTTATATTCTGCACCTTCAATAATGTGTAAAAAGTTGAGAAGCCCTAAAGTACCTATCTATTTATTTATTTATTTATTTATTTATTTCCTATCATCTTCTCAATAGTCCCTTTTGACTTTTTTTCTCTTAAATCCAAATTTATTCTCTTCTATCTTTATTGCTACTAGCCTAGCCTAATATAGCCCAGCGGCCCATTCTGAGATTATTGCAGGAAATTTCAAATCTCACTAAAGGTCCCCCCAGAGTCCATTGTGGACACTGCTGCCAGAAAACACAATTTTGTCATATAATCCTGAATCAAAAATTTCAACAATCTCTCACTGTCCTCAGAATTGTGCCCAAATTTCTCACCTAGATAGTCAAAGTCTGTAGGTTGAGTCTAGCCTACCTTGATACAGTTAACTTCACTATTTTACATCATGAATCCTTAGTTCAACTTGGAAAAGGAAGTTGTTGGTATTAAGAGCTAACATGGATTAATCAGGAACACTTTGCAACAAACTAGCTGCATTTTCTTTTCTAATAGACTTACTATATCTGTGGAAAAAATGCTACATACATAACATTTTGGCAGAGTTTCTCAGATACTATTGTGAACAATATGGATATTGCACACTTTGATAGATTTGAAAGCAGTTTAAAATCTGTACCCAAAAAGGAAAACAATAGATTGTTTAATGAATGACTGCTAACATAGAAAAAGTCACTAGTGTCATGTCAGGGGACTCTGTTCTTAGAAGCGGCCTGGATAGTATTTTGGAAAACAAAATAGAAGTCATGCTTACAAAATTGCAGACAGCAGAAAACTAGATAGGAGGAAAGATAAACTGCATTGCCGAATCAAGTTTCGAGGAGATATGAATTAGTTGGAATGATGGACTGAATCAAATTGAATGAAATGTAACAGTATTTGTACTCAAAATCTAGCATTTTGATGTTTTAAAAAGCAATTGCACAGCATCGAAAATGAGATATTTCAATCAGCAGTCTACAAAAGCTATTGCAATAACAATGGTATATTTATAGACATACATCATCTAGCATATGGGGTGAAGGGAAGGTACGAATGATCCTACCCTTCTCTGTGTTCATCATACCACAGCTGGAAACCTGGGTTCTGATCCTATAATTCTATAACCTACTGATTTTTATTAAATATATCATTCTCATTTCTCCAACAATAGTTTGTTCATGCAGTTCCCTTTATCACACCCTTTCCCAACTTCCTACCGAGTTAGCTGGGTCATATCCTTACTTCAAGTCCATTCATTTCAACCACCACCAACTGCACACTGATTCTGTGCCAGGCACTGGGCTGTGTGCTAGAGGTAACAATACCAGGTTGCATTTATTGAGGGCATAGATGTGCTAGGCACTGACCATATCTAGTAATCTCACTATATCACAGTGAGCCTGTGATATTGGGACTCACATTTAATGTTTCATTTTACAGATGGCTACAGAGGGGTTTGATGACTTGCCCAAGGTCCCATGGTAAGGGACTTGAAGCTGAGCAGTCTGACTCCAGAGCTTGGGCTCCTACCCACCACACTGTACTGCTTCTCTGACAAGGAAGGAGTCAGACATGTTCCTTTTCCTCCAAGGACAGTCTAGAGGGAAAAGACACTATCCATCAACAATAATAGGCTTTGATAATTAATATCCAGTATCCATGGACAAGTTAGGCTTTGGTAATTACTGTAATAAAATATATAAATAAAGTACTCTGGCATTCAGAGTAGAAGTGACGATTTCCAAAAGAATCAGAAGAAATCTCACAGATCCTTATTTTGAGCTGGGGCTTGAAATGTAAATGATAGCTGAGGAGGTAAGATTATTTATCTGCCAAAGCAAGAGCAAGAGTGAAGGAGCAGAGTGGTGCAGAGGCTAAATGAAAATGGATTATTCTTCACAACTGTAAGGTCTGAGGCATGGGGAGCAATGGTCTAGCACAGTTCTCCTCCTTAAGGGCCTACTCACTGTAGCCGGATGATCTCTGCCACTCTCAAGAGCTGACTGGATTATGCTCATCTCTTCCCAACTCCTGGTTCAAGGGTGTCAGGCTGGTAGCTTGAAACTGGCATGGGCACCATGAAGGTGGCAAACACTATCAATCAGGCTCCCTCTGTCCAGCCCCAGCCCCTATTGTTAAACATCTACCAGCTCACCACTGCCCGGAACCCAGTTATTCATCATTTCATGCTATCTACCACCTTCTTTAATGATTTTTTAAATGTTCCAGGTGACTTGTCTTCTAAATGAATTCTAAACATGTCTCTGAGTATTTCTGAGACTATAAACACATTTCTAAAGCACTGTGAGCCTCAGTTTCTGCATCTGTAAAAATAAGTGTATAGAATTCTGAGGTGCCTTCCACATAATTTCATGATCATAATTTCTTTAGGACAGGGGCTCTCTACATCCTACAGATTAAAGCTCAATGAAGAGGTGCTTTTAGAGGTTACTTTTTGAAGGGATAGCAGTATCCAATTTGTTTCTACAAAATATGAACTTGTCTTAAAGTCATGATTTTTTTTTCTTGTTTCTTCAAGGAAACAAGAAAAGAAATGAGAAGGAAAGTTAAATTCCTTGAGTACTGAAAGGTGAAACTTTTTTGAAAAAGAAAATCTACGAATATCAGATTTCCAATTCCAACCAACAGGGCTCATGTTAAAGAACATGTTTAGATAGTCACTGCCAATTCTTTATGGAGCAAGGCAGGTTAGAAATGAGTAAACAACTAAAATTAACAAAAAAGGAAAAAAAAATTATGTAGAAGAAGAAGGTGTATTTCAAGCAATCCTTCTCTCAAGGGGGAGAAAGTATGGTGAAAAATATAAATGGAAAAGTTTGAAAGAGCAAATAAAAATAGTAAATAGAGAAAGAGAAGCCGGAGATACCAAGCAAACATCTTGAAAGGATGTCTGAAGTGGTGTGAGTATACAATCCTGGAAGTGCAGACAGTAGTAGAACATGAGGCTAATGAGATATTTCAGAGACAATGTAGCGAGAAGAACTGAAGGAAGAATTTATGCTTGAGATTAAAATAGGATCAGGAAAATAAAAAACCTTAAGAAATAATGAAGAAAATGACTGTAAAGCACTCAGAATTCCTTTGAGGGAAACACTAAATAAACATCATTACCACAAGCACATTTCACAACATCTGTCTACAAAAAATTCAGTTATCTGCCATTCTAATATTTAAAAAGATCTCTTGAGGGCCAAAATCATCTTTCTCAAGAGAAAAAAAAAATATTTGCCTAGTTCTTTTTTTTTTTTTTTTTCCAGAAAAACAAGGAGTGATGTTTTGGAGTTT